TGGGCTGGACTCAGGAGTGACCTGGACTGAGTACCTCAGAACTGGGTCAGTTCTTATTTCTTCCTCTGGGTTTATTGACTCACCCAGCACCCACCTAAGGACAACTGAGACCAATCTTCCACTTTGCCGATTTTCTGGCAGGCTTGGAGACACATCATGTTAGTCTACAGGAGGCATCTGGGAGCTGCTCTCTGGGGTTACTGTTGGGACCAGAAGGTACTCTGCTTCTCCAGGCCTCCAGCTGAACAAACCTTGAAGCTAGTCATGAAGTCTCCTCATAGGACAGACGTTTCTCCTGCAAACAGGATAATTATAAACAAAACATCTGACCTCTCCTGGAACACAAGCCTTGGAAGATTCCAGAAAGGGTTAGGGAGAAACAACTGACTCCACTGGGTGGAACTGTGAGGTCGCTATGGGTACAGCCTATGTTTGTTATTAACCATTTCCCAGAAGTCTTCAGGGTGGGCTTAGTTGGCAGCCCAAGACTTCCCAGAATTCCTCCCAAATACCCAGGTGTGCTAATAAAAGCAGGTATGTGTGCCCAAGGGAGACCTGTAAGAGAGAAAAGAACATGAAGTCTTACAAGTTTGGGGGCATTTCATAATTTGCTCTCCCTAGCTGGGTAGTGCTGACGCACGCCTTTGATCCCAGCACTCAGAAGGCAGAGAGGCAGGTGATCTCTGAGTTCAAAGCCAGCCTAGTCTTCAGAATGAGTTCCAGGACATGACTACACAGAGACCCTATCTCAAAAACAACAATAATGATGATGATGACGATGATGACAGTGATGATGGTGATGATAATGATAATTCTCTCTGCTTTACAGTGTATCCATACTTTAACATGAGACTAAAATTTTTATTTGGTCCTTGAAGTTTGCTAAGATTAACACTGACACACTCTTAACATACAAATGTTACCATATGAGACAATGGCCAAGTTCTTTAGCCTGTTCATAGCAGACATTTCTCAACATATACATGTATCAAAACATCATGTTTAGTACCTTACACATATTTTTAAATCTGTCAACCGTGCCTCAAGCCAGGGGAAAGCTCTTTAGTACTTAGTATTGGAGACTGAACCTAGGACCTGATGCACACCAAAAAGCAACAGCCCGGCCCTAGAAAGGCTTTTTTTCCCCTTTGGTTTTTCGAGACAGGGTTTCTCTGTGTAGCTTTGCGCCTTTCCTGCAACTCACTCTGTAGCCCAGGCTGGCCTCGAACTCACAGAGATCTGCCTGCCTCTGCCTCCTGAGTGTTGGGATTAAAGCGTGTGCTTTGTAAAAGTAAAATATATCATGCTACTGATTCTCCAGTTGTTAATAATAGGGTCATTTTTTGTTTTTACTTTGTGTTGAATTTGTTTATTTCCCTTCAATATTTGGGTTCTCAGCCAGGCCTGTTAGTACACACCTTTAGTCCCAGCATTCAGTAGGCAGAGGCAGGTGGATCCCTGAGTTTGAGGCCAGCCTGGTCTACATAGCAAGT